TTTTTTTTTTTTTTTTTTTTTGGGGTAACAAGTTGTGCTTTCCAACTTCTTAGATATTCTGACTGGAACTTTCTTTGCAAGAACAGTCACCTCTTACTTGTAAAGGAAGAGAAGGTGGAATTTTCCATGGAACTGGCTACTAGGCCGTGACTAGAACTTGGCCAAATAAGGGATGTGACATTTGGGGAGAAGCAAGGGTGAATCACTGATATTTCCCAACATGGTAGGGTCTAAAACCAATTCGGAGCTTGGATTCCTCCTGAACAGAGACAACAGAGACAGAGCAGATGAGTGAATTAACCTAGAATACCTGTCCAGACTTCAGCAGAGAGAGGGGTTGTACTGAAGTCCTGAGTGACCCCATGGATGGTGACTCTATAGTGAGTGGCTGCTTTGAGCCCTGGCAGGTCCACGGACCTCAGTCCTCCTGGGACTGTGAGGTTCTGGACTGCAGTTACTGTGTCAGTCTCCTGCACCTGAATGAAAAAGTGCTCGTAGGCCCCTTCAGGAGCAGTCCAGGTGAGTTTGAGGGCATCCCAGCCCACCTCGGCCACCGTGATCTCTCCCAAATTGGGAGTTTTCCCTGGAGAAGGACAAAAAACTAGTTTACATCGTAAACCAAGATCCAGGAAATCTTGAACACAAGGCTTGCTATCACTTAAAAATGTGACTCACTTTAGATAAATGTGCATCATGCAACTTTCTAAATTTTAGAAATAGAGCAGAGGGAGAGTTTTGGGAAAACCTTTCTTCTCTTCCCTTATGAAAGGATTCCCTTCAATATCAGTGAATGAGGAGGTTGATTTTGTGATGCTTTTTCCTTTTTTAATATAGCATGCAAACATCTTTTAACAGAGGGAGCCTATCTCTGGGGGTAATCTCCTCTCTCCAGGCTGGGCAGATTGTCCCACAGAATGGCTTCTGTACAGCTCTGGAGAGTGTTGCCAGGGAGTGAAATGTTACAGTGGCCTTGGGGCTGTGTAATCCAATAATGACTGTGTGTTATCAGATCCCACGGTACTTTTACTTGTAGCAGAACAAGTCCTTTTCTCGTGGTTTGGATTAAAAATTCCTCCTAAAAGACTTATGAGTTCAGAGGTGGAACTTTTGGAAGGTGATTAGATCAGGGAGACGCTGGATGCATCAGTGGATTCATTCATCAATGAGTTCACATTTGAATGTGCTGTTAAGAGGTCGGGCCCGATTGGAGGAAGAAAGTTACTGGCAGTGTGACCCAGAAGTGAACATCCTGTCCCCAACCCCTTCTTTCTTTGGCTCTTCTTTGCTCTCTGTTTCTCTCTCACCATGAGGTGCGCAATTTTCCTCTACCACACCTTTCTGTCATGATGCTCCTGCCTTGGATACAGCTGATCTTCTATGGAAACCTCTGAGACTGAGAACCAAAATAAAACCTCTCCTCTTTTATGGTGTATATGTCAGGTATTTTGTCCCACCAATAAAAATCTGTCTAATAAACTCTTCCAAAGCTAGTTGTGTCTGATTGTCCTCAGGCAGTTTCCTGTTGGAAAAAATGGAACTTTTAGATATAAAAGTAGGAAGTACCTGTGGAGGCCTCAGTAGAGAGGACCGGTGTTCTATAGCCCCATATCACCCCATAGATGGAGATGGTATAGTGGGTGCCGGCCTTGAGACCGGGAAGGTCCACAGCCCGGAGGCTGCCAGGCACCGTGAGGTTGTGAGTGGCCTCCACCTTGTTGGCCTCCTGCACCTGAATGACAAAGTGCTCATAGGGCTGGTCAGCAGCGGTCCAGTTGAGTTTGAGGCCATCCCAGCCAACCTCAGTCACGATGAGATTTTCCAGTTCGGGGACATGTTCTGAATAAGGACAAAATAGGGGTCAATAGAACTATTCTTCATAATGCTTTCCTTCTGAGAACTCATAGGTAGCAAACCTTCTGCCAAGACTGAAAGACTCTCAAGGTCCAAGTGTTACATTTTGTCCACTGTGTCCTCTAAAGTTGCTGTCTTCTTTAAAATGCCAACAGAAAAAAAAATTCACATAATAACTGGGCCAGGGGTTTAGCTCAGTGGTTCTGCTGCCTGCCTCACAAGCACAAGGACCCGAGTTTGATCCCACAAACAAACAAACAAACAAAAAACCATAATAACCTATTTTGCCTTCTTATTTGAGCTTGTATTTTGAAAGTGTCATTTCCTGTTGACCAGTGTTCTGATGGTTTAGAAAAATGAATACATCTGTGTTGGTGATGCTCCAGTGGATGTACTTTCTAACTTTGAAAAGTATCTCTCACCCTAGGGAGGTAGGTCAGCTATCCTTGGGTCTGGGTCCAGCCTACTGTATTTTGAAATAATTAGCAACTTATAGATTCCCTTTGTTTCCACCCAGCCTCAGTCTCCCCTGGAAAGTCCATTACAGTTTATATTGGGATTTTGTCGTTTTCTGGGGTTTGGATCCATTTTTATTAAGTGCTGCAGTACAGATCAGAGGTAAATTAACACAGTATTAGTAAGGCTGACCTGAGAAAGGCCATAAGCCTTTACTAGATAGAATGAACAAGGCTCTGGGAGAAAACAGAGAGAACTAAACTCAATTAAAATTGAATGCTCCATCTTTATACATCACTGGAACATAGAGCTTCTGTCAAAAATCACTTATATGCATTGGTATGAGGGGGTTCATTTGCCCAGGGCTGAGCTTAGGTGGACTTTGCATGACCTAGGAAGAAAAGATTTATGGCAATGGATCCTATAAATAAGAGCATAGGAGCTGTCTTTGCTCATTTAAAGCAACAATCATTTTTCTACTTATGGCTCATGTTGCTGCTAATTTCAAATGAGCCCTATGTGCTCATAAAGACAACTTTTTAACTTGAAAACACTATCCTGAAATCTGAGAACAGCCTTTCAGAGGGAAATTATTTATTTTCTAGAATATATTTAATATATTAATATATTTAATCTTTACCCAATACTAGGGGACATTCTTCTTAATTGTTTAATATTGACAAAGCTTAAACTTATCAAGTCTCTTTTCTTTTTCTTTTTTTTTTAAGTCTAATTTGCTCTAGGACCGAGGCACAGAAACTGTGTCTTGAGGGCTTTATTTGGCCTGCCACCTAGCTTGGTCATTAGCAAGGTGACATCAGTTTTTACATTTTGAAGTCTTTTTTTTTTTTTTTTAAGTCTAATTTGCTCTAGGACCGAGGCACAGAAACTGTGTCTTGAGGGCTTTATTTGGCCTGCCACCTAGCTTGGTCATTAGCAAGGTGACATCAGTTTTTACATTTTGCATTTTG